TCCTAGGGATTCTCGCTGGGTGAGGGCATGGAGGGAGACACCTCGATTGGGGACATCACCTCCTGGCCCCGAAGATCCAGGCCACGGCCACGTTCTCCAAGAGGATAATAAGGAAGAGAGGCAGAAACGTCCAGTAATCGTCCATCAGGTTCACGAAGTAGCTGCCCGAGGGCGTGATGAAGATGAGGCTGCCCAGGAACATGGGTGCGCAGAGGCCCACTGCAGGGAGAGCGTCGGCTGGGATCAGAGTCGGGATTGAAGGCGGGCCGTAGGTGGGCGTCCCGGGTGAAGGGCAGGGTACCTGTGAGCATCGTGGGATGCTTCCTGAAGGTGGCGAAGGCGTCCTGGAGGGGGGTAATGATACCCTGCATGATCCACATCATCGTGTTCAGTCCCATACTCAGCAGCAACAGAAAGAGGATGATGGCCCAGAAGGTAGGCACCATATACACCGAGATGAGGTCGGTGAGGGCCACGAAGGACACGCCGGGCCCCTCCATAGCCTGCGAGGGGCAGAGGGAACGGCCAGGGCTCTCAGCTCAGCACGTGGACTCCCACCTCGTCCAGACGCCCCGGCCCCTTCCCCTGGGGAAGCATCTGAGGCGTCAGGGGTGGAAATCACTGCTCCCACTTTGGTCTCGAGGCACGGAGACCTCTTCTTCAACAGCCGCTGATCTAGTAATTTATTTTTTTTTTGTAAGATAAAATAGTAAAGATATTAGCACTGAAAAAAAATAGTAAAGATAATCTTCACCCTGAAACCCACAGCATCCCTTTTCAGCAGGAAGTAGCTAAGAGGATACGCCATCGCCATCCCCTTTTCCTTATGAATCAGGGAGAAGTCTCTCTCAGGGAGGAGTGATAGGGAATGGCAAAGGACACACTGACAAAGGAGATTAATCAGAACTGACTTTGACAAGCACTGCGGCAATTGGACAATTAAAACAGACATTCGGATGGCGGGGGAAGAAGAACAAACTGGGAAGGAGGGTAGAGAGAATGGTGCAGCAATGAAGGAATGAAAACCCAAAATCCCTGTAAATGTTCATTAAAACTAATAAAATTTAATAATAATAATAATAAATAGTAAAGATAGATTTATTAGAAAGTTACAGAAGATAGATTTATTAGGAAGTTACATCCCCAAAGGGACGGACCTCCCCTCTTTGAAAGGAAATGCGGAGGAGAAAGGCCTAGCAGTTCTTTTTTGAGTTGGTACGAACAAGCTTATAGCAACTGGAGTTCCTGGAGGAACAGAGGGTGCAACTGCCTTATCACAAAGGGATCCTGTGACCTCTCATTCTGGTTGTCCAGGCCACGTTGTTGTAGTTGTTGATTGCAGTCCAGTTGAGAGTGACTCATAGCGACTCTATGAAGCAAAAACCCAATGCCTTTCCAAAACCGTTGTCATTCCCCCAAGTTCATAGAGTCTCCAGAGGCGTGTGGTTTAGGAAGTGGATGCCACTCCTGCTTCCAAACCTGTTTTACAACTGAGAGCGCCACCAAACACTGTCCACATTGGGAAACCATTATGGTAACTGATACCCCAATGGGACAAAGCTTAGCATCACAGCAAACCCAGGTTACCTCATACAGCACATTGACAAAGAGTGATGTGCAAAGTGGAAGAGTGTTCCTCCAGATAAAACAGCACTAGTCTCATTTATCAGCGGTTTAGTGTCGTCAAGTTGAATACGAGTCAGAGTAAGCTTTGCACAAAACCCCTGAACTCTGTTCTAGAACTAACATCATTTCTGTACAGAACTCTGTTCTGTAACTACCACCATTTCTGTACATTTATAGAGTTTAGAGTTTGTAGAGTTGAGAGAGTTTGTAGAGTTTCCAGAGGCATCTAGTTTAGGAAGTGGATACAACTCCTGCTTAAATCCCAGCATAAATCAATCTGGAAGTTCATCCAACCTCTGTACATAATGGAAGCTGATCTAGCAATTTTTTTAAAAAGATAAAATAGTAAAGATAGATTTATTAGGAAGTTACATCCCCAAAGAGATGGACCTCCCTCTTTGAAAGGAAATGCGGAGGTGGAAGGCCTAGCAGTTCTTTTTTTGAGTCGGCATCAACAAGCTTATACCGATTGGAGTTCCTGGAGTTCCTGGAGCAACAGAGGCTTCAAACTACCGTATCACAAAGGGATCCTGTGACCTCTCATTCTGGTTGTCCAGGAGGCAACAGTGCACTGAAATTTCTGATGAATGGGTGGGTGGGGGGCTTTGGGGAACCCAATCCACAGACCTTACTTACTTACATTTTGAAATTCTTTCGTTAAGTTGCATTCGGTTATATGCTTTGTGACCAAGTTCTGGGTGTCTGTAGGGAGGTTGTTGAACCAGCTTGTGAAGATGCCCACTGGGTCCTGATACACAGCACTTGGGACCTTGGCCTCAGCAGGTAGCTTTCCAATAGTGACCAGATACTCCAGTTTACTAGTATTCCTGGGAACGGGGGTGGAAAAGAAAGGAAAGAAAAGA